AAGTAAGCATTAAGGACAAGATCTATGAACAAAATATACAACGAACGTTTTATTAATTATTCAATAGTTTGTATAGGAGCGATCAAAGTAAGCATTAAGGACAAGATCTATTAACAAAATATAATAACAAACGTTTTATTAATTATTCAATAGTTTATATAAGATCTATGAGCAAAATATTCTAATGAACGTTTTATCAATTTGTGTAGGAGTAATCGAAGTAAGATTTAAGGACAAGATCTATGAACAAAATATTCTAACGAACGTTTTATTGATTATTCAATAGTCTGTATAGGAGTGATTGAAGTAAGCATTAATGGCAGGATCTATGAATATACTAACAAGTGTTTCATCAATTATTCAATAGTTTGTATAAGAGTGATTGAAGTAAGCATTAAGGACAAGATCTATGAAGCTTGCAAAGCAAGTTTTACAAAAATGAACATTTTATCAATTATTCAATAGTTATCTATTTATGTATAAATTTCTCTTTTATTTTAACTCATACCTAATAAAATCACTATGATAAATAATTAAATGAATAAAGTCAGAGATAAGACATCTTTTAATTTAATCATTATTGTTGCTTGTTTACTATTATAATATTATACTGTAGGTAAAGAAAAACTTTAATGTCTATTTATTTATTATATTACTTTTAAAATAAATGATTTACTATAAAAGACATACCTAAGTGACCAAAAATCTACAAATATTCATAATAATGTAATATTTGGACATTTATTTCCACTTATACTTGTGATTGGATGTGTCAAGCAAAATTTTACATATATGAATATAAAGGCAAAAATTGACTTTGAGGGTCCAGTTTTATTAAGGGTAGAGTGTAGGTAACACGAATTTTACTATTATACAGTAGATAATTTTTTGACTGCCGATCATTAGTGTAGTCATGATAACACTATTATTATATGGGGCATACTGCAACAAAACCAGACAAAGTGAACATTGGTATTACTAAGGATTTTAGGATCAATATTGTTTTTAACATTACATTATGTATTTACAGTAATTAGCCAATTACTATTCCGTGTATAAATACCATATTAATATTTTTATGTTGCATGAAATTAATTTAAAAAAAAAACTAGCTTTATTTGAAATAACAATAAAAGCAACATCTAGCTTTTCTCAACACTAATTATTTTGAATTTGTAGTTTTACAGGTTGTCTTATAAGTCATGCAAATATTAATATGTCAGAAAGATATTAGAAAGTAAATTGAGTGATTAATTAATATCTACATTATTCATTATCTTTTGTTTGCTTAAAAAAATTTTTTTTAAATTCCTTTTTTGAAAAAAGGAAAGCTCTCATTTGACGATTTACTAAGCTGAAAAAAAAATGAGCAAATCAATTCCAAAGTCATCAAAATCATATTCATTCATGGCTCATACACAATATTAGGCACATCACAGTTGACAGTGGATTGGACACTCCCTACATTCTGCTTCCTATATATAAAAATGAAAAAAAATTTTTAACATTTTATCTTAAAATATAATTGTATTTCTATACTGCATATACCTCTTCAGCTGGTGATGGCGATGACAGTGGTGGTGGTGGTGGTGGTGGTGGTGGTGATAATGATTCCTATAAATATAATTAAAAGGATTAAATAAGATGTTATGTCTACTATTAATATTTCAGTTTATACTTACAGATGGAAGTTTATGATGACATTTTTTGGCTAGTGGCCCAATCTTGTAATCTATAGACATCTGGAAAATATAAAAAAATTTGCATGTGTCAATCATAAGTTTAATAATAAAAAAGTGTAAAACTTACATCAACACTGTAAGATTTATGCAATATTACATCGGCATCATAAGATTTACACAAGTTTATGCTAAATTAATTTCCTGATGGATTTTCTAGCCTGAAGTTTATAATTATTAGTGTTATTATTATTATCATTCAGGCTTGTTTCATTTTCCAGAATTGAAGTATTTAGCATGTTTTGTGAGTGTTGATGTTGTTGTTGAGAAAGATCTGGAGCTGAAGTATCTGGGATGTTTTGTGGGTATTGTTGTTGTTCTTGAGGTCGATAAGAAGCATCAGAAGCATTAGTAATTTGTTGTTGAGAAAGATCTGGAGCTGAAGTATCTGGGATGTTTTGTGAGTATTGCTGTTGTTCTTGAGGTTGATAAGAAGCATCAGAAGTATTAGTAATTTGTTGTTGAGAAAGATCTGAAGCTGAATTATTTGATATGATTTGTGGATATTGTTGTTGTTGTTGAGGTTGATAAGAGGCGTTGGGAGTAGTGATGGGTGGGTTTATAACAACCTAGTTTATACCCTGTTATATACCTGTTATATACCATGTTATATACCATTACTGCTTTTATACCACATTTATACCATAGACAATTTATCTCTAGCAATTTTTGGTAGCAGTCTCCCCTTATCAATTGTAGGAAATCAGTATTTTATCAATTTTTGTAAAAAACTACATCCTGCTTATGAATTACCATCTAGAAAAACACTCACTATCAAATTGTTAAATGATAAATATAATGAAATTACTGAAAATAATAATAATCAAATTGAAAAATCAAAATATGTCTGTATAACAAGTGATGGTTGGATTTCATGGTTACTTTACCAAAACCACTATTTTGGCAAGCATTTAAAAATGAAGAAATTGACAATGACTTGAATTTCAATTATAATGACTATAATTATGATGGTGAAAATTATGATGATGATAATGATTTTGATGAATTTATTAATTTAGAAGATAGTAGTAACAATCAAGAATTCTATGAAGATGTATAACATAAGTTTATTGCAATTAGTATTTCTTATAAATAAATATTCAAACCAAAATTGTTATCTTATTACATATTAGTGGTATATACCCCTCAAATCGTTTATAACATGTTATATACCATCCCTACACATATATATGTGACAATTTTTTGCTGATCTTTTTTCAATAGTAAACTTTGAACGATTATAACTCTTTAAAGAATAGAGATGCTGGCTCCGAGTTAAGTTTAAAGCATACTAGAGAAATAGGACAATAAAGTAATAGAGCCATTTTTTTTATTTTAATATAAACAATGGCATTTATTTTAAGCTAGAAAATCAAATAATAATAATAAATCCGCAAACCCCTAAAAAATCCTTATTAATGAAAATTTATATATGTGATCAACTTTGTAAATCATATGATGTGGGACACCAATGACTCATGATTCGTCGTTTTAATTCTTGGAACACCTTCAATTTGATCGTAAAATTAACTACTTTATGGGAAAATGGCACTCGTGATGCTATACTTTACACGAATTAACTTCTATTTCACTTTCTATAATATACGATTATACTAAAAAACTTAGTAATGTGATTTATTTAGTCCCTAAGTAACGTTTTGGCAGACCCAGAAAATTCCTAAACAACGTTGTCACTTTGATCAACTTGTTTCGAAGAATAAATTTTCCACTTCCGCCGTACTTGCAAATATTTTAAATAAACATCATTCTAATCTCAATATTAATAATCGTACAGTACTTAATGAGATTCATAAACTGCAATATCGCTCCACCGTCACAAAATCTGTGCCTCTTCTTACCAAAAGGCACAAACAATGTCGTATAGAATTTGCCATAAAATACAGAAGACAAAATTGAACAAAATCATTTTTTCCGGTGTAACTACATTACAAATGTTTAGAAATACTCAAAAAGTATTTGTGGACCTCCAGACAAAGCTATGTTAAAACATCCATACAAAATTCATGTCTGGGGCGCCTTTTCTGTAAAAGATCCATTTGCTTTCTTTCTTTTTACTGATATTATGGATGGTGCTTTATATCAAAAGATTTTGACTGAAAATCTTTTTGACAATGCAAAAAATGTCATGGGAAACCGTTGGGATCTTTCAACAAGATAACGATCCTATGCATACAGTCAGGGATACTAAAAAACTTCTTGCACAACACTGTCCAAAAATGTTGTATTGGTCATCAAATAGCCCAGATCTCAATCCAATTGAGGCATGTTGAATCAAGTCATTAAAGTGTTAATAAAAAAACAGTAAGTTTTCGCGAAAATTTTTGTTAATTTAATTCATAGTACGCCATCAAGATTAAATGAAGTAATTGAGAAAAATGGTAATATGATAAGCTACTAAGTATTTTTAAGTAAACTTATTTATCAAATCATAAAGAGTATATCTATAAATCTTCATGTATGTTGACTTTTTTTGTTGCACTGTAAGTCAAATTTAATTTTGTTGCCTGTGCAAGACAATGGTGTTTCTAGGAATTGATCAATTGAAATATCTTCATTAGTAATAATTTTTTCGTCCATATCAAGATATGTTTGGTAGACGTTTATTTCACATTCCTTTGTTCGGAAACAATAGTTCTTGAAAACCATTCATCACTTTGACTATCTTTTAGTTTTCTTGAAAACTTGACATCTTTTAATTCCTTTGTTTTTAAGAATATGATTTTTTTAAAATTAGTTTCTCAGTCATGATACTCTTTTTCTCTTCATCCGTTAAGTTCCACATATCTCTGATTGTTTAGAAAAGTTATGATTACTTTATTTGAAAAACGGGTTTTTAACATCTTTTATTGCACAACAGAACAAGACAAACGAGTTCGATGGTTGCAGAAACCCTGTTCTTGGGAATATAATCATTTGTTTCAAATATTTCTTCTGATGCTTGAAATTTTAAACTAAGGTTGGCACTGAACCATTTGGTATATAAACAAACGTCCCTTTTATACAGAAATATTGTAATAAAACCAATAGAATTTGTATCACCCTAAAATTTTAATCAGCCCAGAGACATATATTAAATCATTTAATACACGGATAAGATTGAATTAAATACAGAATATTAATATAGTTGTGTTGTTGAATAAAAATTAATACATTATTTATAAATACTAATACTAACAGCTAATACTAATCTAAAATTATTAATATTATGACGGAAAAATTGTATGCCAAAAATTTTTTTTATCATAATAAAACATTACTTTCGTTATCAATTGGTAATTTTAAAAAGCTCAAATGATCATTATTTGAAATACAATTTTTTTTACAAGGTGCTGAAAATATAACATTAGGTTTAAATACTACATTTACTACTGGTTTTAGTACCGGTTGATCATTACAATCAAATAGTAGGTTCATAAAAATTGACTGATTTTGTGTACAGTTGTCATATTTTATCCACAGAGAGTTTTTATCATTGTTAAAAAAATTTCTATCATTGTTAAAAGTAAGCTTTGTTTTACCATAAGGTTCATCAGATCCTGAAGATTCAATTGTACTTTTATTATAATAATAACAAGTTAATATTTATTTTTAAAGGCTTGTTTATCAAATATAAAAATAAATAAGTATTTACCTATAATGAATATAACAATCATCTAAGGAGGGTTCAATTATTTTTTTGGTGTTAAGGTCATAACTGTGAATACAGACTTTTTTATCTGTTCGAAGAAAATGTAAACTGATAATTTTTGAATCCTCTGGATTAGTTGGTCTTGGTTTCTGATATGATTTAATCACACAAGATCCAATTATTGATCTTTCATTTGTTGGTCTTTCAATTTCTGCAATAAATCTATTATTATAATGTTTAATTTGCTTTTCTTCACCAATAAATCTAATATCTAACCCAGGTTTAAATCTAAAACCATATCCAACAATTATATAACTAATCTTTAAGTTATGTTTATCTTTTGACTTCTTTTCATTAATTTTGTGAATTACAATTACAGGACTTTTTTTCCCAATAAATTCAATTCTAGTATTAAATAAATTTTTATTTTCACTTTTATTCCTATTTTCATCTTCTTCCATTATTGTTGAAAATATTTGACATTTATCAATGTCTGAAATATTATGCACTAATCTATGAACATAAGCCTTATTTTTATTTTTTTCAGAATCATAAACAATTCTACAAGTTTTAACTTATATCAATGTATTCATTTGTAGATGTAAATTAGTAAACAATCATCTGAAATAAATATTTAAAGATAATAATAAGCAAAGGTAATGTAATTTACATACCATCAAGTATTTTTTGGCCAAATGTTTTTAATACTTGGTTTTTTAGATTATCTGATAATATTTCAAATATAGGTATAACATCTTTATATTCAATTATATCCCACTTATCAGGATTGCGAAGAGATTCATACCAATCATCTAAAAGAGCTCCATTTCCTCCTATTGTACGTTGATATGATATAGTTTTACTTGATCTTGTAATATCATTTACTGATTTTGTTTTACCTAAAGATGCACCAGCACCAAAAATTCCTGGAGGATTTATATTTAATTCAACATTCTGTGTATTTGAAGATAACCTTCCAGCTAACAAATAATTTTAGTCAATGATTATTTTTTTAATTTTTTAAAAAATAATATATATATAGGATTAAAAGGTTGAATTTACCTTGATTTGCTTCACTTGTAAGTTGTTTTACAATTTTACCACCAAAAATAATTTTTTCAGATATAAATTGACCATAATTTTCAATAATTTTCTCAAGTTTCTCATGTTTTTCTTCTAATGATAATTTCGGATCAACTGCAGATTTAACATCATTTTCAAATTCAGGGGTTAAATAATAATTTGATTTTGTAAATTCAATTGATGCATATTCTGATTTTTCAATTGAGTATGAAATAGCTGTGTCCAATTTCTTTTCAAATTCAAATGAACTTTTTAAACCAATACAAGATGATAGCCATGGTAATAATAAATTGCCAACTAAAACTATGTTACGTTCAGATAAATTTTGCTGCTCATTTTTACATTCTTTAACAAACCCCATTCTTTCTATTTTATCATATTCTTCAAATTTGGGATCCTTAATTGTAATTGCTTTTCTAGGAGCCTTTTTAGTTCCCTCATCTTTTGTCATACTAAATCCATACTCACAAGATCCAATTAACTTTGGCAAATCAGGTTTGTTTTTTTTGCTTAAATTTATCAAATTAATATTTTCATCATTTTTATTAATTATTTTAATTAAAGTATATTTATATTCTTTATCTACCCCTATTTCACCATAAATTGAATTTTTAAATAAATAATTATCATAACCTAAACGTTCTTTTAAAATAAATGATCTAACTTCATCCAATTTCATATTTAAAGGCAACTCCTCATAAAGCCTTTCTTCTCCAATTTGAAATGAAACACCAGTAGGTTCATTATTTTTGAATGTTTTAATAAATAATTCATTACCAACAAGAATCTTTGATAAGGCTCTGTTTTCTCTATTTATATCTATATTAATATCATTACCATTATGTTGAAAAATTAAAGTATTTTCAGGGTAATCAATATAACTTCGAATTTCTTCATTTCCCAAGATAAATATACGAACTTTTGATAATTTTAGGTCAACATTAAGCTTTTGATTGAATTCTTCATCATCAATTTTTATAACAATGTTTTTCATGTTTAAAAGACAAATTTATCAAAAAAAATTTTCATGAATACTAAATTTGTCATTTTGTCGCCATACACACATTATTATTGTAACACATACAAAAGAAAATTTCATTAGTCACTATTATTATTGTCTGCAGCTTACATTCTTCATTGACACTCTGAATGTCCAAATTGGCTAATTTTGGTATCTTTACTTTCATTTTTATAGAAGCAACCTGCACTATACCTAGAAAATTATCACCACCGGTTTTTTTTAATTGGCAATCTAACATAAAATTTGTAGGCACCGTGACGTCACAAATTAAGATTGCCGATCAGCCTAATTTATTTAAATGTCTCTTTATCGCACAAAAAATGTTCTATTCCAAATTAGAATTTTTTTTTCACACCTTTATTAATAATTGTTAATTATAAATTATTTTTATTATATATATACTTCTGAGCAACATTTTTGTACTTTTTTTCAAATACATGACTATTGAACCGATCTACTATTAATCAATCTCACAATATAAAATACAAAGAGATTTTCGGATCTTTATACATCAAGTAGAATGAAATCAAAAAAACAACAAAGTCCTGATAATTTAAATTCATCTGATGATGAAAATTTACCATCTTGGATTGAGAAATTTAAACTTCAATATGGATTGGTTGTTGATGAAAAGGGAGTAAAAAAAGGAAATATCCAACCTATCCAACTTTTTAGTTTTTCAACAAATCTAAAAGTTAATAAAATTAATCCAACTGATTCTATAAAAACCAGCTTGACAATCACAAGTTCATTATTACATTCTTATTTTTTAAAAAGTGATATTAAAGTTATTGATGATGAAATGATAAAGTTCTTTAGCCAAGAAGTTCCTTTTATTAATTTGAAAGTAAAAGATTCGTGGAATTTAGAATCTGAACAAAATGTAAAGAATTCATGCAATTTAGAATCTAAACAAAAAGTAGAGGATCCATTGAATTTAGAATTTAAACAAACAATCCATTGTGAGATCAGTAGTCAACAAATTGAGTTGACTTTTGAAAATTTTGTACCATCAAATGAATTAATTAAAGATGTGCATAGGGCTTTAGATACAGAAAATCCTTATCATGAACTTGAAATTATATTTAATGAATATGGTCATTTATTATGTAAAAAAA